TTCTGTGTGCCAAACATTCTTCTGAGTACTTTACCTGTATTAACTCACTTAGGTCTCATAATAACTTTGTAAGGAAGACACTATTATTGCCCCCATTTCACAGATGAGTAAATTGAAGTACAGAGAGAACAAATGACCTGACCAGAGTCACACAACTAGTAAGTAGGATGACCAGGGTTTGAACCCAGGTGATGCCTAATTCCAGAACCCCCTAGTTTTAACCTCTTTACTGCTTTTTGGGAAATGGATTTATAAAATCTCCCTTTGCTCCAAAATATCTGTTGAAATTCTATCATTAATAAAAGTGTCATAGAATTTTACAGCTAGCAGAGGCCTCAGTATGCATTGGATTCAATTTTTATCCAAAGGAACAACATCCTGGACAACTTAGCTTGAACACCTCTCATGATGAGGAACTCATTACGTCCAGAAGCAGTCACCAGCTGACAGCTCTAATTATTAATAAAAACTGTAAAATGTTGATTGCCTTTTGTACCAGACATTTTGCTAGAGCATGGGGTAGAAATTCTTCAATATACTGGGCCCAAATCTGCCTCCCTGCAACTGCTTCCCACTGGGTCTGTGGTCTGCTCTTTGGAACAACACAGATTGTGTCTGTGATTCCCTGCATGTCATGACATCCCCATATATATTTGAAGACAGCTACAAAGTTCTCCTTAGATTTTATTTTTCCCTGTTTATTCAATCTGTTCTCAGATCACATTCCCTAGGTGAGATTCATTTTTCTTATTAACAAGCTTCTGTTTGAAAATGCAAATGTGGGACAGTAGCATATTAAACCTAATCTGATGCCTCCCTGCCACTGAACTGTCTTGAGAGAAAAGGAGTTTCCATCTGGGGAAAGGAGCAGGGAGGGTGTTGAGAAGAGAGGCGACTCGGAGCATGGTTCGACTGCTAGCACAGGTTTGGAGTGGGTGTTGATACAGGATCTCCAGGTGGGCAAAAAGCATCACAGTGATCGTGGGCTCCCAAGACTAAGGAAGGAGACATGCCAAGAGTTAAAAAACAGCAAAACTGATGAACACCTGTTGAGCACTGGCTTTATGCATGCTTAGGGCAGTTAGCTTTCATCACCTTGCTTTAATCCTCACAACAGGGTCACCAGGTAGGTGCCATTATTATCCACATGTTACATATTGAGTAATATGAGGGCTGGAAGGGGAAATAACTTGTTTAGAAAAAGGCAGTCCAGTTTTGAAGTCAGCAGCCTAAACTTTTCCTTAACTACTTTGATGAAAGGATGATGAAAACCTAACTTTGCCAGCTTACCCCAAAGCTGATTAGTAATTATCCAAATGGAACTCAGATGCCTGAGACTTCCACAGTCTTAAGGAGTTCCGCAATATCCAAATAATGACCCCCAAAAGTCCACTCTTACACCAGGTTTCTGTCCTAAGTATTTGAGTCCTCGAGGAGTGTTCCATGCTCCATCGGTCTGTCTTGGATGTTTTTGACTATCTCAGTGAGCCTGCCTCTCCACTTCTGTCATGATGAAACCCCTGTACTGCTGAACCTCATGAACAATTAAGACCAGACTGAAATGTTTAATGAGGCTTTCCCCGAGGATGCCCTATGGAGCAAGTCTCACGTGCAGTTTCCAGCCAGGTTGTAGGGATCAACCTAAAATCACTATAGGTTTACCCACCACCTCCCACACAGTCAACCAATAGACTTTGTGAGCCCACCACCTCCTACAAAAGTCAGACTCAACAACTGTGACACTTCCAGAAGGTAAAACCTTATTTGCAAAATTGTAGTGCACCCAAGGGGAAGTTACACGAACAGATTAGTATCTCAAGCCTCTCTGTATCTGGATAGGATCTTGGCTTTACCATTGCATAACCAAAGAGTCCGTTAATTAAGGCCCTAAAGGGTGCCCTCATCCTCTGCAGAAACTGAAAACTGCATAGCAAGTCTCAGCCAGGGCCTCATTACACAACATACAATCACAGTTAAAATATCGCCTTTAAAAAAATACAAACCAATTCTTTCTAAAGAGGATACATTTCGGATAAACAAAGGCATTTTCTCATTTGTATAGAATCTAGGTTCATTCAGTGTGGAGAACCTTGCCTTAACTCTTACAAGCAGTTTGTTAAACCTCATTTTATCATCTGGATATTCCTTCTGAATGATGATGATTATAACTGAGAATTATTTGTACTTTAAGAATCTGTGGAAATCTCCAAAGATCCAATACTATTGGATTTGCAACCACAAATTAACAAATGCTAAGATACATTGAAATTGGCTCTAATAGTGTCATTTTAAAACCATATACAACTTTGAACTTGTGTGAATGCAACTTTGACACTGATGAACATTTCCAGCCTCTTCCTGGCAGAAGTGAGCTGGAGAATGAAAGAACCAGACACCAGAGGGACCTGCAAGAGGGGAAATGAAGGTGTGGTTTCGGTGCTTGGCTTCAAAGGCTAGCGGCAATCATGGGTCTAACCCCATCACTTTCCAGCTAAACCAATTTTCTGTAAAGACAGAAAAACCCCAAACGGCCGATGTCAAATTTCCCCTGCATCATTTTTAATTTAACAATGTCCCAGTTTCCAAGCTGTCGTCATCTAGTCTTTGTAAGTGCACTGATGAACCAAGCACAGGCAGGGGGAGGGAATGGCTAGAGTGTACACCTCAGACTCTCCAGCTTGGGGTCTAAGTTTTCATTCTTTTCACTGAAGTTCTAGCTCCTTGATGAACTTGTTCACCCATTCCATTACTATTAAGGCCAGAAATGAATAGACTAGAGAAAAGATTTTTCCCCCTACCAATAAATCATTCAGTAAATAGAATTGAAACCCTCCAATCTTGACAGCTGGTTGCACATATGAGCTCTGGTGTGTATAATCAGCTAGTTCACATTTTCATGGTTCTAGGATCCTTTTTTTTTTTTTTAAGATTTTATTTTTAAGTAACCTCTATACCCAGCATGAGGCTCGTACTCACAACCCTGAGATCAAGAGTTGCATGCTCTTCCGACTGAGCCAGCCAGTCATACCTCAGATCCTCTTATAATAGATCTCCTTCCCTGTGTGCCTGTGCTCAGCCAAGGGCATAGGCCCGGAAGCTTCTCTCTGCTGCCAAACACACATGTGCACATGCACATATACACACACACATTGGGCATACACATTCCACCTAGTGGCCTCAATAAAAGACCGTTCCTTTGGGGAAGGAGGGTTGTTAACAGAGACAATAAAATCACTATAGAAATTTTCTAGACAAATTCAGATTCTAGACTTTGATCTTAGGCCAAATAATGAAAATTGTAAATACAGATCGAGAGCCAAATTCCCCTTTTAGACAAAATGGTTTCTCCTGAAATCCAGATTGACTAATTACTCCATATAACTAATTTGTTTTGAGTCAAGGACTCCTAGGGTCTTTGTAAAGCTCCCTTGCGTTCACTTATAATGGAGGTATGCTCACTACCTCAGAAGGCAGCCCATTTCAAAATTTTGGCAACCTGTAGAGTTAAAAAGTTCCTCCTTAAACTGAGCAAGATTGACCTCCCATAGTTTTCACCAATTTGGTCTTATATCTACCCTCTGGAGGGACACAAAATAAACTTAATCCCTCTACTAGACAGCTAATCTCTTTATATGATTCTCTTAAAAGAAATTGTGGTGACTCAGGCTACAATCCTATGAAGGATATAATAAACCCAATACCTTTCCCTCCTCCCTGCAGTGGCAGAGTAAGCCTAGTGAGTATACTTATCACGCTGGGAGAGGGGAAAATGCTCCTCCCTGGCAGGCCTTGGATGAGAGTCTGGCAAAGGGTAGTGCTGGACAGACAGGCTTTCTCAGATTTTCCTCTCTGTTATGATAACCCGCAGCCTTCTGCTGGCTAAAGTACATGTCTGGCCCCAGAGATTCTCCTCTTAGTCTGGGTCAGAGGTCCAGGGTTCTTACGTGTGCAATAGAATCCTGGGAGTTCTCTGCAGGGCCCCACCCTCCAAGATTTTGATTTAGTAGAAATGAAACAGGCCCGGTAATTCCGTATTTTAACAAGCGCTCCAGGTGCAGATGTCCTTACTACATTTGAAGAAACATCAAACTAAGTGAAGAAAGAGAAGTAAAAAAAATACTGTGCATTTTGGTTTTATTTAACTGGAAAGCACACATATTCAACATTTAGCTTATTGAAGTCCTATCCATTTAAATTAAGTTATTAAATTGCATGTTACTAAATAATAAAAACACTTTCAGTCACTTATTATTCATCTAATACTAATCATTAAGTCTGTCAAAATTCCCTCAGAATGAGGGAATGAACAGTCTGCAGGTTACAGACTGATAAACTGAAGTGTTTGTTGGGAAGCATTCAACGTGGGCCTTAAGAAGGGAGCCAGTCTTCTGCATTGCAGCCTATTGCCTGTCTCAGGTTGGCCAACAGAGCAGGGCATCAGGCCAGATTTGAGGAACTTTACAGGGAGAGTACACTTTGGTCCAACACTTGGCTGATCAATCTCGTGATTGAAGTTAACATAAAAATCACACCTGCATAAGCACCACCGCATACATCCATGCAAGTCTGTGGGAATTCTAATAAAGCTATAGAGGGTTCCAGTACACAGGTTACAACAAGTTACAACATTTCACAGTAGTCTAAATACCTGGGGAGTTTAGTTATGCAAAGAAAACCCTCCTTCCTTTGAGAACAACAGCTTATGTCTTTTCAAAATAGCTGCTGTGGTTCTTTTACAAATATAAAGGCTGTCTTGTCTCTAACTCAGCCTTAAAGTAATGCTATCCCAAGGCAGCCCCAGTAACCTTGTTTTCTTGTGACAAAGTGAACCCATGCTCTACTCAGTAAGTTAGCACTTAGTAAATTGACTAAAAAAGTTGAGCAACAAATTTAGTAAAAGATTTTGGTGACAGGAACTTACTTTCCTATTAAGACACTTCATGCATGTTTGTTGTAAAATAAAATTATTTTAGAATAAATGCAGTGAAGGTATCTAACTTTCATTTTCTGTCAGGGATGAAGACTTTCACTGGTTCGCTGACCTTCCTCTTCTTCCTGGAGCTCTGAGAACTTTGCTGACTGCACACAAAATTCATTCTTTGAATCTGTGAGAATCACCAGAGAGGCACAATTCAGCAGAGATTTTGACGTCTGCACAAGGCATATACAAGACAGGTAGACCAAGCGTTAATCCCTTTAGCTGCATAACGGATCCAAACCTGCTTTCCTGTGGACTGGTTTGGCCCTGCACAGAGGCCCTGCTGCCAGTATCAGAGTCTGGTATTCCAAGTTTCAGGAGCTGAGGTCCCCTGGAGGCAGCCAGTTTCAGGGACAGTTTCTTGGCTCCCTTCAGTGAATTCAGCACATCCAACTCTTAAGGGAAGAGTTGTCAAGGTGTGGGGCCAACAAGGAGCAATTAAGGGTCAGGAGAGATCTAGGGCACTGATTACTTTAGAAGCAAATATAATTGAAGTCCCAATTTCAGTTAGCAGCAACATACAGCCTTATCTTTCCTATCATATGTTCAGATTAATCAATTGGGGAGGACATGACCCTTCTTTCTGCTGGAAGAGAAGTGTATATTATTGATTAGAAGGAAGTTAATTAGTGAACCATCATGGATATATATCTTCCCATTGGGCTCGGATTTAGTAAAGATTTTAAAGCTTATTTTTGCTTAACTGAGAGAACAACTGGATGTGTTATAATCTTGCAAACAATCCCTAATGCCTGTAATTCCAAGAAACACAGAGTTTTTATATTTTCCAGCCACTAGATGGGAGGAAAGGTTTTTCAATATCCTCTCTTCTTTCTTTGGTAGGAAAATGGAATAAAACATATTTTTAAGCAAGATTTGTCAGAATATCTAATAGAGGTTTCTAACACCATCCTGTTTTCTGTTATAGACGTAAGTTTTTGTTATTATTGGTATGTTACTACTATAAAATAGTAGGAGTGTCAAGAAAGCACTTAGGTACCATTTAGAACCAAAGATTGGGTCTACAAATGGCTACTTTAATCACTGTTTTTCTTTAGCTTTAGAAAGCATTTGAATTTCTGATCTCAGAAACCACTAATTCTCTTTGGCTTAAACTAAGACATCGATTTTAAAATTCTGAAAAAATAAAATGAGCAGCTCATCAAATAACTGGTTTGTTTAGATATGTAAAAGCATGAAATGGTCTGCACTAAAGGGAAAGAAACAGCAACATAAAGCACAACCACCAATTTCTTTATCCAGGAGATGAATTTGTTACAGTGTGGCTGTAAAAAAAAAAAAAAAAAAAAAAAAAAAAAAAAAAAAAAAAAAAGCACTCAGTAAAATTCAGCTTTTCTAGAAATGTTGCTTGGGTATGCTTTCCATTCCAATGAAAATTTCCTCACTTCTATCAAGTCTGGGTATACTGAGAAGAAAGGAAGATGGATATACAAATCCTCAAATGACAAGTTGGCCTGATGGTTTAATAGTATTGTTTTCTTTTTCTTCTTTACTCAAAAGTAAACCAGTTTTATTACAAGTTTCAGAACTGTATGTTTATTGCAGTGAGTTAATCAAAACATCTTTAATAATGTATACAATTTCAAGGCAACCAGTGAGGCCTGGGAACTCTCAATGGGTTTATGGAAAACTAGTGCATTCAAAAGCAAGTATGTGATCGGTCAAGGGACACTTTCTAACATAGACGAATAATCTATATTAACTGTATATAAACCAACAATTTATCCATACATTTTTCTGAGTGTATTTCAACTGGCTGAGTTTGCATATATGATGCCAAAGCCAACCAGGCAAGCAAAGGGCCAGTGATCAGGCAGCCTAGACAGATTATCTGGGTGATCTGAGCAACAATGGATGATCATCAAATGATGTCTAATGCACATCATATTATATTTAAACAGTTAGCTTTAAAATTTTTTTTAACGTTTATTTATTTTTGAGACAGAGAGAGACAGAGCATGAACGGGGGAGGGGCAGAGAGAGAGGGAGACACAGAATCGGAAGCAGGCTCCAGGCTCCGAGCCATCAGCCCAGAGCCCGATGCAGGGCTCGAACTCACGGACCGCGAGATCGTGACCTGAGTCAAAGTCGGACGCTTAACCGACTGAGCCACCCAGGCGCCCCTAAACAGTTAGCTTTTAAAGTGTTTCTTTTATACAGACTAACAAGGGGCTACTATGATACACTTACCAATAGGGCCTCAGGAGTAGAGTATCTACATATATGTCTGAAAAAAGCCCTGAAGATATGCTTTGTGCTATAGGAGATTTCCCTACTTTCCATTTTTGGCTTGGTAACATGTTCTCCATTTGAGAAGCCAGAGAACAGGTTTTGCCTTAAGCACAGATAGGATAGCTAGCTGACTTGGTGGCAGTATTTGAACAGCACTGGAAAGGGTCCTTTCTTCTAAATGATTCCATTTATCATTTATTCCTTTATTCATTTACTGAAAAACAAATGTTTACTTGAATGTTCTCCCAGAGTTCTGTATTTGGCCATCTTTTCTCCTTATTCTTCACATTCTGCATATGTCTCCTGGGAATCAGTCACCAATTATAAGCAAAGACCTCCACATTTATATATTCAGCCTAGATCTTCCTTTTGAACTCCAGATCCGTGTGTGTAATCAACTGCCTACTAATAGTCTCCACATGGATGTTCCAAAGAAAACTCAAATGCAATGTGTCCAAATTGGAATTCATCATCTGCCTCTCAAAGCCAACTCCGAATCTTTGTTCCCACTCTCTGTGATTCCCCTAGGGGTGTCCCATTGAAAACCCAAGACTCATCCATGGCTACTCCATCATTCTCACACTACCATCTAACTAACCGCTAATTCCTATTGATCCTACCTCCTTAACAGCTCTCAAATCCATCCATTTTTCTCTACTGCCACTGCCTCTACTTTAGCCCAGGCCAACATCATCTCTCCCAAGTACTAAGTCTTGAACTCCCACTACTACTGCTTCTCTAATCCATTCTCCACTCTGGAGCCTAATTTGTCTTATATGAAATCTGACCATGTCAGTCGCTGTCATCCATCCACTAATGACTTCTCACTGTCCTCAGGATAAAGTCCAGACTCTGTGTGGCCCTTGCCTACCTCCGCAGCTTCATCTTGTCTAGACTTACTGAGAGCTACTTGCAGTTCCCCAAAAGGGCCCTGCTCACTTCGCTCTGGATTTTGCCTTTAATGCCCACTCCCATGCCCTGCTTCCCCCTTCATCACCAGGCCCAAGGTCAGCCCTGGAGTTTCTTCTGCCTACTGGCCTTCTGAGATATCTCTATGGTTGCATTCTGTTCTTACCCCTTTTGTGGCATTTACTACATAGTATTATCAGGCCTATGTATCAGTCTGCTCATCCAGAGGATAAACTCCTTGAGGTTAGTGACAGTATCTTAGTTATCTTTTTATTCTCAGTTCCTGATACCTGGCAGGTGCTCTTAAATTACTGGCTGAAAGAATGAATGCATTTTTAAGATGAATGTAAGACAAGCCCTGTGCTGGGCACTAGGACAATATCTCTAGCAATAAAAAGATGAAGACACAGACATTTTCAAGGATCGGGTCTTATAAGGAAGAGGCATTAAGTGCACGATTATAATATAATGCAATACAATATAATAAAAAATCCATTCAATAGCCACAATAGACATCCATTAATTAATTCAGCAATTATTTATTGAGTTCCAGCTCTGTGCATGGTACTGTTCTAGGTGCTTGGGACACATCAGTGAACAAAAGAGATAAAAATCCCTGCCCTATGGATTTTACAATCTAGCTGTGTTACTTTCTGGCTTCCTATTTTCCAAGGACATCTCACTGTTTTTAGGAAATAGACCAAAGTTAATATCTTGGCTTTTTTCCACACACCACCAGTGATTCTTTACATTTCTAGGGAGTGAGAGGGGTCACAGGCTGGCTATAAGACCCTGATGAAAGCTATCCCCTCTCTCCTCAGAATGCTCACACCTGCAACTCACACACTCATCCACTGTGGCAGGCCATTTGAGGGGGCACCCCCGAATATCTCTCAGTTATAATCACTACCCCCCAGGACCTGGCTCTGCCCAGCAGTACCAACCTCACCTCCCCACTTGACCTCTCACTCTCTGCCCTCAGTTTTCTCAAAGTGTACTTCTTCCTGATTCTAGACCTTTGCATATGATGTTCTTCCTGCCTAAAATGTTCTTTCCCCTCTACTTTTTTGTCTAGTTAGTTCATATTCATTCTTTAGATCTCAGATGAAAAATTATTTCCTCAAAGAAACATTCCCTACCTTAGTTCCAATTAAGTTAGGTCCCCTAATCATATGCTCTCAATAGAGTTCCAGGAGATCAGGGACATGCCTGTCTGTCTTGGTCACAACTTGTACATAGTAGGGGCTCAATATATATCTCTTGATGAATAAATAAGTGAATGAATCTTCAAAGAGTACTCTGCCTGCAGTGTAGAAAGGTACTTGAGGCATCAAGTGGATGCAGGGTGATGAGTCATACTGTGGTAGTAGTAAGGGGATAACTTGGGTGACAGTCCAGATGAAGAGAAGTCAACAGTGAGAGAAATATTTAGAAGATAGAGTCAGAAGGATGCCCAAATGGATATGACAGTAAAGAACAGGTAGGTAGGTCAATAGTGACTCCCAGTTTCTGGTTTAACTAACTTTATGGATGAAGGTACTGTTCTTTCAGGTAGAGAACAATGGCAGTTTTGAACTTGCTGAGTTTGGAGAACATGTGAAACCCCCAAGTCGACACATTGAATAGGCAGTGGTATATGGAAGTCTGGAGCTCAGGAGAGAGGTCTAGGATAAGGATGAAAACTTGAGAGTCATCAGCACATGGAGGCTAATTAATGACATGGGTGTGGAAGAGTTTGTTTATTGAGAGATCTGAGCGTGAGAAGGGAAAGGGGCCAGGACATAGCCTTAAGGAACTCCAACATTTACAGATTAGGTGGAAGATAAGCCAAGAAAGGAGATTGAGAAAGAGAGAGATAAAAGAAGACTAGCAGGCTGTCATGTAAAGAAAGCCAAGGGAAGAGAGTTCTAAGAAAGACTGGAGAAAATAAAAGAGACAATGGTGGTGGTAAGTAGTGTCAGTTGC